AATCGAGAATCGAGAATCGAGAATCGAGAATCGAGAATCTATAATTATTTACGAAAACTATAACTCAAACTCTAAACCCATTATAAACATCCGGTTTATATATTTTTAAGGCATATCTAATAGCCATCTCCCCGGTGTTCATAATTCTATTTTATAATTATTATTTATAAACACTCATTACTACCACACCATGGAGCCCCCCACGCATTTTCACCACACGCCCCCCATTTTATCTTCGATTAAATGGTAGTAACTGTTTATTTAGAGTTTCACGATCACCTCTGCTCACATATTCTATATTTAACATTCTTGGCCTCTCTGCGTGATTGCATGATAATTGGTATATAGGCCATGATAATGGGTAGATAGACCCTGAGAATAGGTAGAGAGAGACTAGGTAAAGAGAAGTCCCTGCCACACACACTCTCGGGGTCCCGGGCTCCGTGTAGTGGCGGGACCTCGTTGGAGAATTTGTTGTAGTGCTCTATTAGCCTTGCCTTACGGTTGTAGTATTTTGCCCTGGGAGAGATTCGAACTCTCAACCTACCAGGCTTCAACTGATCGCTCTACCAATCGAGCTACCTGGGCTTTTACTATATATTACCACACCTCCTTCTCTGCAGTAAGTAATTATTATTTATCAGATTCGATTATAGATAGTCCGTATTTACTCACTCATTATATTACTTCCACACCATTTATATCCGAGAGATTATACTTTCACAACTACGTGTTACTACCGCACCATTTTATCTTTAAATTTTATTAAAACTCCACGCATTCTCTCTTCTACTACCACGCACATCACACACTCTGAATAAGTAAGGTCCCACCCCGCGAATCCAACACGAACAAGTGGTTAGATCTCTGGGGCTCCGTGATTGCGTGGAGGTGAGAGAATGGTGTTTAATTCCGTGGTAGTTACCGTGAAAGTAGTATTCATATTCGAGAGAATATAAATCTATTTAAATATTAATAAATCTCACCACACACTCTCGAGAGTATTACGCTGAAGGTGTGGTAGTAAGTAGTAATCCGTGTGTAAAAATTAATTCTCAGAATGCGTAACGGTTCACCCTATTACTCCCACACCCTTCTCATAATGGTTCCTTCTATCCACCTCCCCACCCTCCACGCATTCAGGTGTGGAGTTTAAATTCGTTATAATCTCCTAGTGTGACCTCGTGTGTGTGGTGTAAAAAACGTAGGAGGTATAATTAGAGGATGTTGAATCTGATTTTCTCTGAAAATGGTGTGGAAGTAGTACGTAGTCATTATTATTATTCCTTCTATAAATTATTACCAATCGAGAATCTTATTTACTCTAAATAATTACGTACTTATAACTTATTCTCGAGAATCATTATAAACTCTATTACAGGGACTCGAGCGTGGTGTAAAATAAAGGACGTGCACGATTATTAACATTAAATATGTTATTGACACTGGAGATTTTGAGAATCGAACTCAAATCGAATTACTGCAAATAATTTGTACTACCATTGTACTAAACCCCCTTGGGTCTGGTATTGAGAGATTATTCTAATATATCGTATAAGTCATGGCCTGACCAGGGGGATATGTTTCTCTTTATTATCTGCATATCCTTATAGCGTATTGCTTCTATTTAAACTTCCGCGGATTTGATTATACTTCCACAACTTCGCTTTTCCACACACACACTCAAGGTTCTGCATCCCACGACAAAGGTGTGGAGGTAGAGCTCCGTGAGAGTTCGTGTGTGTACTTTTCCACACACACTCGAATCACTGCCACGCATTTTTACCCTACACCACACCATTAGGTCCCCGTCACCTCTCTCCGAGCCCACGAGTTTTATCTTCGATCTTATCTTATAAATCCGTGGACCTTGAGTTTGTGTGGCAGGGACTTTAATGCGTGGAGCCCCCTGTTAAAATTTAAGAAGGTAGTGGTAGTGATACGTGAGAGTCCTGATTTTATCTTCGAGCCCCCATTCAAACTATCACCGATTGTATGGTTTTAGCGGGGACCGCATAAAAGGGTGTAAAATAAAGGTGTGAAATAAATTTACTATATCTCTAACAACACGGCGTTATGTCAAAGGCCACTAGAGCACATGGTAGAAATACAATTATTCCAATTACAATCGGTAGGAGAATTAGTCAACAAGTCATTATTAGTTGGTCATAACGCAGTCTTGGTAGACTCGCTCTAAATCATACAAAGGCAAAGCAAAATACTGATGTCTTAAGAGCTAGAATTACACTCTGGCTACTAATTACTCCCACACCTTCGTCGTGGAAGTAATGATAGAATGTATTATTATAAATCACCTCTGGAATTATAAATCCTCCAAAAAAAAAGATCGCTGTTAGTGTTGACATTAGAATAATTTGTGAGTATTCGGCTAGAAAGTACATTACAAAAATAATCCCTGAATAATCTGTATTATACCCTGAGACTAGCTCTGACTCCGCTTCGGGTAGATCAAACGGTGTTCTGTTGGTTTCCGCTAGAGCACTGATAAACCAAATAATAAATAGAGGAAGAAGAGGAACTACAAATCAAGTTGATTGTTGGTGTATAATAATCGTGGTGTAATTAAATGAACTTGTTATAATGATGATAGCCAGAATTACACTACTTATAATTAGCTCATATGACAGTATCTGAGCTGTTGATCTTAGT